TGCATAATCTGAGTATCCAAATTTTTCCAAGGCTGGGAAGGAGAGATGAACGTTCTTGTATTATTCCCTCTGCTACAACCTGGGTCTCCCCGTGTTACATGTGAATACAAAGTGTGTTGAACCAGCAGTAAAATTAACTTGATTTCACAGAGGAAGAGAAATATGTCCAGAGAGATGAAAGATGTTGGTTTTTTTCCATGCCTTTCTGTCTTTCTATATCCTGGATACATTTCTAAAGAAGGTTTTTTAGATATAAACTAGTTCTTCAAGTGATCTGTGTCCTTTTTGACATGACCCTTTGTCCTGGTTTCAGCTGGGGTACAGTTAATTTTCTTCCTAGCAGCTGGTGCAGTGCTGTGTTTTGGCTTTAGTCTGAGAACAATGCTGATAACACACCAATGTTTTAGTTGTTGGTAGGTAGCACTTACCCTGATCAAGGATTTGTCAATCTCTCATGCTCTGCCAGTGAGGAGGAAGCTCAGCCAGAACAGCTGGCCTAAACTAGCCAAAGGGGTATTCCATACCACAGCACATCATGTCCAGTATATAAACTGGATGGAGTTACACAGAAAGGACCAATCAGTGCTCAGGTGAGGTTGGGTATCAATCATTGGGTAGTGAGCTATTGTACTGTGCACCAATTGTGTTTTCTGAATTTTATTTCTCCTTTTTTTTGTTGTTCCTTAGTATTATTACTAGTATTGTTATTGTAGGTATTATTTCTATTCTCATTATATTTTACTTAACTTCAGTTACTAAACTGTTCTTCTCTCAGCCTGTGGGTTTTATATTCTTCTAATTCTCCTTCCCATCCCACCCAGAACTGGGGAAGGAGGGAGGGGACAGTGAACAAGCGGCTGCATGTTGCCAGCTTAAACCATGACACCCCTTTCCTGCTATCTTCTACCTCTTCTCACTTCCTAAAATAGACCCATTGTCACAGAAAAGAAGGTGAAACAAAGAAATCAAGCATTGATCTAAGATGCCCAGACCAACAATAGCATTGAGAAAATCAAGGTTAGAGGCAGTATGCGCTAACAGGCATGGATACATCAATGGCTGTATTACGGAAGTTTCTGGTTTTAAATCAGTGTTGGCTTTTGTAGCAAATGTGTTTCAGGGCCACTTGACACCATTTCTCACAGCTATCTTGTGATTACATACGCCTCTCATCAAGCCTTGAGATGTTTCTGGCCTTGACCATTTTTCCAGCTCTTTGGTGCAGGCTTCGTCACAAATTGCTCAGTCTCCCTAGAAAGTGAAGCACTATGAACTTGAAGAATGAAATTCAAGTATTTTTAACCTATAAATTATAAATTATATGGTGGTGATGTGAGAAGATGTGTTAACATGAGTTCATTTCTTCCAATAACAAAAGGCAGGTAGAACAATATCCAGAGGACATAACAGGTTGTCATGACAATTTTGCTTTCTGTTATATGTTCACCTCCAAAATGGCAAAAAGTGCATTTATTGCTTATCCATATTTGCATTATTGCAGTTCAAGTCTGTGGTAATCTTTGAAAATGTATGTGTTTAAAGCCTGCGAGTAAAGTAACAAAGGTACCAAACCTATTACTGGAAAAGCCATTATGTTTGATGAAAGTAAACAGAAGGTATTACATAGATAATTTCTACTGGGCTCTTAAAGAAATGTTTTCATCCAGATTTGTTCTTCAGTTGATTTTACAAATGCATGTAGTACCAGTCTTGCAAAAAACTAAATCATCAAGGTGCTGTTTGGAAGTCTTAGACATGGTGGTGTATGTATCTAAAACCTGCAGAAGACGTGAATAACAACAACACAGCCTGCAAAAATAACAATCAGGCCAAAAAGCAGGAGAATTTAAAGGCAATCAAGTAAATTCATGGGAGGGATAATGAAGGTGTTGATGCAGGCTTTGGTTGAGAAGATACTGAGTTACAGGTTGCCAGAACTTGAATGGCTGTAATGCAGAACACACACTTGGTTGTCTTCTTCCCAAGACATTCCCCTAGCTGTCTTACCAGCAACTGCTGGAAAAGCTCCAGAACCTCCTGAAGCCTTACCCTGCTGCAGTATGGATATTCTTACATAGCCTAAAGCAACCTGACAGAGTAAATACACTTGATAGCTAATTGTTTAATGTGGATGGCTTGAATCCCCAATGTGAAGAATTTAACACAATTTACTGCCATTTGTCATGCTGGGGAAGGGAAAGAAACCAGATACTTTTATAGTTAATATACTCTTAGTTATATTGTGGGCTGAACAGCAGCAGTTGCATTTGTGTGTGGAGGTAATAAATTCCCCAGCTCTGATAATTTCTATAGTGAAGGATATATTTTTATAATGAGGGATAGAAGAGATTAGTCTGTATACAGGAAATATATCACTGAAAGAAGAACCATCACAACAGTCCATTTTGTAAGTTAAATGAATCCTAGGAGTGATATGCTGTCCAAATAGATGTGTCATTATTCCATAAGAAATATATCTCTTAAATTAATTGAGAAGTAAAGTCACCTGTCACTGGAGCAGTACATAACAGCAGTTATTTAGCAGATTAAAACAACCCCCATTGAATCACTAATACTTATCTCCTTTGATGTAAGTAACTCAACTTTTGTTGTTGTTGAGTAAGAGCAGATGTTAGTGACTGTAGATTAAGGGAACTACTACTAAAAGGGCATGATGTTGCCCTGAAGTCAGGTGCTTACTGTTTAATAATGATGAATTATGCAGAAAGTAGTTGTTCTGAAATTGAATCTGTCTCTTCTTAGGCACAAATATGGGAATAATGCTGAAGGATAAGAGTCTTATGAACTTGTTCTTGACTACATGCAGCTCATGTGAGGATAAACAGCTATGCCTTGGATAATATGATAGTAACATTTCAAGCTTAACTAATGGTGTAATGGTTTTTTGGTGGGGTGGCCATGGGATAAAAAAAAGCAAAAAAAAAAAAAAGAATCAGGAAGAAACTGAATTCAAATTTTGTCAGAACTTTTTCAGTAAATTGAAAAAAATATATAAAAAGTTCATCTTGGACCAATATTTTTAAAAAAGAAAATCTGTGTTATTTCCAAGATATTTGAAGCATTTTTACCTTAGCATATTTTCCAAGATATTTGAAGCAATGATTATGGTGAAATCTGCCTGAGAAAAGGGGCCCCTTTGCCTGCTATAAAATCTCCTAATTAGCACTTAGGGTCACAAGTTCTGCAGTGTGAGTTGTGCAACAGGGCAAGGATTTCATTTCTTCTGCATCAGGAGACAAATCAGGAGGTACAATTAAGTTTCAGACCACATGGCAGTCCCCCATGTGGTCCTGATACTGCTTTGTGAGGAAGGAATAGTTGTGCCACCACTGTCCAGAGTGAGGGCACAGCAGCCACAGCGTGGTGAGGAGTCCGTCTGATGCTTCTTCCCTTCTGAACTGTGGGGAAAAGATACCAAGTTCTCTACAGATTAAGTCAATTTTAGAAGAAGGCTTTCTCTTAGAAAGACACATTATTCGATGAGAAATATAACCAGGGGGCTCAGTCAAATAGGAGCCAAACTTGAAAGGACTTCAGAGGATGCAGGGCTAAGGCTCAAAAGGCCCTGCAAAATTTGACTTCTTTCACAGTGCTTCTGCATCCTTTGACATAGTCAGCCAGCCAAAAAAAATTAACCTTTAGATCAGTCTTACAGACTGGCACAGCAGAATTGGCAGCAAATGTACTTGACAGCAAGAGTTCTCATGGAGAGTGGCAGGGATTGTGTTTGTTACTCAGTTGGGTCCTTTGTGGGTTATTTCGTTATTTTACATTGATGGGAAATATATGAATGTGGCATTTTGAATAAACACATAGTCATTTTCTACAGATTAGAACTAAGGGACTTGTGGGTACTTTTCATGCTGTGTTAGTGAGAGGGATAAATGAGGCCATGCACACCTTACAGAAGTGCCCCAGCAGGATGGAATCTTAAACAAGCTGAAGAAGACAGTCTTAGGAGGAAAATGTCAAGGATGTAGCACCATGAACAGAGAAGTTGTTTTGCAATGCAAATATGAGAAAACATCAGTATCTAATGGGGAAAAAAAATTACTGACAAGACAGTTATATGAGCTGGCTATTGTTGTTGTTAGGTTTTTAATTTTCCGTGTAATCTACATCTACTATATTAATTATTAGATGAATAAGAATTTATTGTCTTATGCATTAGAGAACAATCTCGTTTTAACTAGCATGGGCACACTGTTGTGTTCTAGGTGGTCTATTATTACGGTTTAGGCTGTTTGAAGATTTGTTGTTAGAATTCTATTGGAAAATGCCATTCTCTAACAAAAAGGAAATTAAATATTGGCATAAGGATTAATTATGACTACTGAGAGCTAAGTTGATAAATGAAGACTTTCAGGAGTTTTTTCAGCTGTATCAGGTGATGTCTCATTAAATACCAGAGCCATTTGAAATAATATGATGGCTAACCACTTTAAAAATCCCATAGTAATTAAAATTTTGCTTTTTTGCACTATATTGAGCTCATTTCAGATGTACAGTGGCACGCATCACACTTGAACTATTGTCATGTTTAAAAGCATCTGTCCTTTTCAATTGTTTACAACTTACACTGGCCCTGCCTCCCCCGGCACCCCACTTTTTTTCACATTCTAGTTGTTTGCACAGCTTCTTCAGAGCATACATAAAGTAGTATACGTCTCTGTCTGGACCTCAAATTAGTACAATCAACTGCATCTCTGAAGAGATTTGCTTCTGATAAAACTGATCCGAATTTCTCTCAATTGCAAAAGAAATAATTGTGAAAAATCACAGTTTTGCCAGTATTGTGAATCTATTTTTTCAATTGCCTTATAACTCTTTAGCTGAATTACACAACCAAACTCACTGAGAAAGCATCAGATCAAAAATTTAGGTATTCCCAGATAACTCAATCAGTGAACACATACTGTTTTGCAGTATCTTTTTCTATGTCATGCAATGTATTCATATATATATATATTAATTTCTAGATGGCTACCCTAAAGAGGAAATGATATACAGATGGAGGAAAAACTCTGTGGAGGCTGCTGACCAGAAATCTTGGAGACTCTATCAGTTTGACTTTATGGGCCTCAGAAACACTTCAGAAATTGTGAAAACCTCTGCAGGTAAGAACGGTACAAACGGTAGGGCTTTTTTTGAAGAAAAAAAAATACATTTCAAAGTATTTGTTCCAACTTTGCTTTCATTCAAGTGCAGTTGGATTTCAATGAGTACCAACATTCATATTAAAACCTCTAAAGTACAGACTTCAAAACTACTGACTTTCTCTAGATTTTTGATATCTTTTTCTGTACTCTTTTAATAATTTCACAAACTGAGGAATAAATGCTAACTTGACGTGGCTGTTGTTAAGACACTTGAAGTTACTCTATGCTTCTCATTCTTGAGCTAAGCTTTTTAAACCATTCCTGCACTGAGCTATATGTTTTCACTATACATTAAAGAGAAAGATTTTTGAGCACAGTGGTTGAGTTAGTGAAATTAAACACTTTTTTTCAATAGTGTCTAATTATTCAGCCACAAGTTTAGTATTTTTCTGAATAGTTCAAAGACATTCTTTATTTCTCAGTTGATAAATGCTTTTGCTACTGACCTTACTAATTGATTGTAGTTAACATCTAATGATGCCTATTTTATTTCTTCAGAAATCTTGCTGTTTCAATAATGGCGACAAAGGGAAAAAGGTATATAAATAGAATGCATTATTTGAACTGTATAAATTATTATAAAATTCAAGCAATTTTTAATACATGACTCTACAGCAAGCTTCATGATCACCATTTGTGAGTCTTCTCCCAGCTGCTGAAGGAATGTCCTAGAAGCAACCTTCTGTTTAACTGGTGGTGAATGTTTGAAAATGTTGTGGGTTGTTTTTTTTTTTTCAAAAATGTAAGCAGAGCTGTGTTATTCTTTTGGAAATGCTGTGAATAATAGCAATAACCAAAAAATATTAATCTCTGAAACCACTGCTGTTGCATCATGGTCCACCCACTAACATTAGCAAGATGTTCTTAGGACCGGATAGTAATTTGTGTAATGAAGAGTCACTAAAGCTTTAGTGAGTATTTTGGGCTCACGGTTTAGCAGAACATAATGTTGCAAACAGTGCACATATAAAAGTTCTCTTCTGTTATGGATAAAAATCTTTGTAGTCTGTAAGTTTCTCAGGAATGCAAATTACCCATAGGTTGAACCAGGAGTGGTGCATAACAGTCAAGCACAAGATACCAAATCACTAAAGTATATATGTATGTGGTTTAACCCCAGCTGGCAACTAATCCCCACCTAAGCACTTGCTCAATTCTCAGAGCGGGATGGGGAAGAGAATCAGAAGAGATAAAATGAGAAAACTTGTGTGTTGAGATAAAGACAGTTTAAGAGGTAAAGCAAAAGCCACACACACATGTAAGGCAAAACAAGGAATTCATTCACTGATTCCCATGGGCAGGCAGGTGTTCAGCCATCTCCAGGAAAGTAGGGCTCCATTACACATAACAGTAACTTGGGAATACAAACACCATCACTCTGAATGTTCCCTGCTTCCCTTATTCCCCCAGCTTTGTGTGCTGCTCATGACCACATATGTTATGAAATATTCCTTGGTTCGTTTGGGTTCAGCTGTCCTGGCTGTGTTCCCTCCCAACTCCTTGTGCACCTCTAGTCCTCACTGGTGGGGTGAGAAGCAGAAAAGGCTTTGACTCTGTGTAAGCGCTGCTCAGCAGTAAGAAAACCAGCACAAATCCAAAATACCCTCCCCGCCCCCCGTGCTTGCTACTATAAAGAAAATTAACTCTATCCCAGTCAAACCCATCACAGGAACTCGTTGGAAGGGATGGTACAAATAGGAGACAAAGCCCTGCTCCCTCTGCTTTGCTTACATCTGGCATGTTGTTTGCATTTGGCATTGTGAGTTTGCATCAAGAGCTGCAAAATACACATGTTGCAGACAGCAGTTGTCCACTAGCAACAGATGGATTCAAACCCCTAATAATCTTCTTTTGCTTCTGACTTACACCTTTCTGATGATTTATGACAGTATTACTTCTCACTGAATTCTGTGTTCATCCATAACATGAAAGCTGCCACAGCTTTACTTACCTGTGTCTACTTCTGGGATGCCTTTTTAAACTCAATTTCAGCAGTGTTCTGGCTATGATGAAAAGAAGTCACACTGACCACAGAGCAACATCCTGCTGTTTTTCCAGCATTTCTGTAAGTCCTTTCTTGGTAGTAATTCTAACCATAAAATTACTAGATTTAGCACTCAGCAGAGTTCTGCTATACTTTCAGCCTTTCCAAACGTTTTTCAGACGTCTAAATAACCTTTATGTTAATCTAGGGCAATTTCAGAGGTACACAAGTAGGAAGCCAGCTGTCACAAGGAGTGCATTTCTGAAATCTGAGCAAGATGAGAAATGTTGTTGTCTCTTGCCTTGCAGCAGCAGTACCTTATAGCATTGCCAGAGAGGTGTGCTTTACTCTTGCAAGAAAAGTATCCTCTTTTACAAATTCTGGCAGGGAGAGAATATTTTCATTGCCATCTGGAAGAGGTATTCACTTTTTCTTCAGGATTATTTTTTTTTAACTTCATGCTAAGGTACAAACTCAACCAGATAAACATCTACTGCATATGGTGATTACAGGGAATACATGGCAGAAATCACTGTGCCAGTGCTGTGGTCATGAACCTTTATCTTACACCCTAAGTAAGCTCTCACTGACAGGTGATATCAAACTAATTCACAAGTACTGAAGAATTCCCTTGTTGCCATCTGGCAAGGTAGTCAGATAATATAGCAAGAGCACTGTCTTGCTGCAATGTCATATAAGGCTGACAAAAATAATTAAAAGTAGCAAAAAAAAAAAAAAAAGGATAAATTGCATTTAAGGAGAAAATCTTTAAATTTTAAAAACTGCAAATCAGCCAATAGAAGGGTGACCAGGAAAACAGGAGAGAGGGAGAACATCATCTTTAAATGTACTCTGGGTGCATTTGCACTAAAATTGAGGTTTCCAAGTCCCAGACTTCCCAAGTACACTTGGGGGGAGTAAAAAAAAAAAAACCCAACAAAAAACCAAGACCCACCAAAACCCAAGAAAACAGAATCATAAAGTGTAAAGGACTTCACGAGTGAAGCTCATGGAGTGAACTGCACTGTTTCTTACAATTTTCTGTTGACATTTTACTCCGGAAAAGTCTATTCCTTTTTAAACCATGCAGCTAGATAAACACAAGGACCTTGAGGTTACTGATTCTAATTTCCATTTACTTGAAAACTTCTTTGCATTATACAAAAAATCATATTTTTGTTCCTCCTCATATGCCTTTAGCCTGGGAGATTTTTGCAGTCCAAAGGAGCCTCTTCATACATAAGTTCAAGATAATTAATCAGAAATAGAAAATATCATAAAAGTGCCCCTTTTAAAAACTTTAATAATTCCAACTGAAATATACCAGAGAGAAAGTACCATTTCATACATTCTGAATAACCCTCAAACATAAATACCCAAACCTAATAAATACCCATAACTAATGTCATAAAAAGGTACATCTTTGCATACATACAGTGGATGGGTGATGATTAGTGGAGTTGGCCTGTCATATGACTAGGGACCAGGTTAGGAAAGCTAAGGCACAGTTAGAATTAAACTTAGCTAGAGGTATTAAAGATAACAGGAAGGGATTCTACAGGTACATAGCAAATAAAAAACAGACTAGGGAGAACGTAGGCCCCCTCAGGAAGCTCTCGGGAGAACTGGCTACACAGGATTTGGAGAAGGCTGAGGTTCTGAATGACTTCTTCGCCTCGGTCTTCACTGGCAAAGGCTCTGACCAAACCACCCAAGTCTTGGAAGGCAGATGCAGGGACTGTGAGAATGAAGACCTTGCGCACACTGTAGGAGAGGAACTGGTTCGAGACCATCTTCAAAATCTGAACGTACACAAGTCCATGGGTCCTGATGAGATCCACCCGTGGGTCCTGAAGGAGCTGGTGAATGAAGTTGCGAAGCCGCTGGCCATCATATTTGAGAAATCATGGCAGTCAGGTGAAGTTCCCGATGACTGGAAAAAGGGAAATATAACCCCCATTTTCAAGAAGGGGAAAATGGACGACCCGGGGAATTGCAGACCAGTCTCACCTCTGTGCCTGGCAGAATCTTGGAGCAGATTCTCCTGGAAGGCATGCTAAGGCACATGAAAAGCAACAAGGTGCTTGGAGACAGCCAGCATGGCTTCACTAAGGGGAAATCCTGCCTGACCAATTTGGTGGCCTTGTATGATGGGGCTACAGAACTGATGGACAGGGGTAGAGCAGTTGATGTCATCTGCCTGGACTTGTGTAAAGCGTTCGACACTATCCCACGTGACATCCTTGTCTCTAAATTGGAGAGACATCAATTTGATGGATGGACCACTCAGTGGATAAAGAACTGGCTGGATGGCCGCACACAAAGAGCTGTGGTCAATGGCTCAATGTCCAGCTGGAGACCAGTAACGAGTGGTGTCCCTCAGGGATCAGTGTTGGGACCGGTCTTGTTCAACATCTTTGTCACTGACATGAACAGTGGGATTGAGTGCGCCCTCAGCAAGTTTGCCGATGACACCAAGCTGTGTGGTTCGGTTGATACGCTGGAGGGAAGGAATGCCATCCAGAGGGACCTCCTTGACACACTTGTGAGGTGGGCTGATGCCAACTTCATGAAGTTTAACCATGCCAAGTGTAAGGTCCTACACCTGGGTCGGAGCAATCCCAGGCACAGGTACAGGTTGGGCAGAGAAGAGATTCAGAGCAGCCCTGCGGAGAAGGACTTGGGAGTGGTGTTGTATGAGAAAATGAACATGAGCCGGCAGTGTGCACTTGCAGCCCAGAAAGCCAACCATATCCTGGGCTGCATCAAAAGGAGTGTGACCAGCAGCTAGAAGGAGGTGATCCTGCCCCTTTACTCTGCTTTGTGAGACCTCACCTGGAGTATTGTGTGCAGTTCTGGTGTCCTCAACATAAAAAGGACATGGAACTGTTGGAACAAGTCCAGAGAAGGGCCACGAGGATGATCAGGGGACTGGAGCACCTCCCGTAGGAAGACAGGCTGAGGAAGTTGGGGC